TCCGCCATGAGGTTGATCATTATATGGGTTAACCTCCTTCTCCTGAAGCCCGGCATGGCCAGGTGGTTAGGGTACTTGACTCACAATCTGCGGGTCGCGGGTTCGATTCCCTGTCACACCAAACATGCTCGCTCTTTCAGCCGGGGGCATTCTAATGTGACGGTCAATCCCACTATTCGCTGGTAAAAGAGTAGCCCAAGTGTTGGAGGTGTGTGGTGATGACTAGCTGCCTTCCCTCTAGTCTTACACTGCTAAATTAGGGACAGCTAGCGCAGATATCCCTCGTGTAGCTTTGCGCGAAATTCAAAACAAACAAACCTCCTGAACTTGCCCCACTTCCTCTTGAGCAAGCCGAACCTGTTTGTGCCGAGGAAACCTGTTTGATAGCTTTTTTTCACCACTGGATTTTGCTGTGTCTTTCTATGCCCCACCTGAGGAATCACTTAGGCCTTATACCACATTCTAGACATGATTTCTCAGTTATATGATGTTTTATCCATTTCCTTAATTTCCTGTTATCACCATCCTATTTTGTTGCATGATAGTTCTTCCTCTCCGAATATTAGGGTTCATGCTGAGCAATTTGCTTCACAATTGGTTGTGGGTGCCAGCATGCCTCGTGCTCCACAGGCCATGGACCACTTTGCATTAGCTTACCTTCAGGCTGACTGTCTGTTTTTTTACTCTCAACAGTTGGGGTCAATTTTACCTATGTGGGGGACAGTCTCTTGCTTTCCTGTGCATTTAACCCATGCCTAGTTTTCACACCTTCATCTTACCCTTACTTTCCTTTTATCTACTATCCATATCCATTCCAAGGCAATCTACTGAGACCCTGAGTGTTTTTTTGAGGGAAAGCCTCTCCCTTATTACCTCCACATTGGCTAAATTGTCATTTTTGGCTTTTACTTTACACACATAGTTTCTCTCTTTTGTTAGGATCTTCTGGGTTGAGATGTGGTCTTGTCCCAGGTTTGGGATTTACATATGGCCCCTTTTCTTCAGCGGTATGTTTTTTGATCATGTACCTGAGACTTTGGAATCACGTGTGGAGTCTGTGCATCAACACTCTACCCTTTCTTCTTTGTCCAAGTCTGAGCCAAGACAAGCGCCTATTCCTCCTTCCAGGGCTTTCTCATCTTGTCATATTATCTTATGTAGATTAGCACGTTGCCATCAGTACTGGTGACTACCAAGTGGGTTCCGGTCTGGTGGGAGCTTGATTGTACATATTTGTTCCACTTTAGTGATCTTTCCCTACAGATCAGTGGGTTCTTAGGGTTTTATCAGAGGGATTTGTTCTACAATTTCTCTCTCCCCCTTTGTCTCTGGTACCCGTTTTCTTTTCCATGTCTCAGGATCCTACCACCAACCAGCATCTGTCAGAGGTGGTACAAGACTTTCTGTCTCAACAGACTATTGAACTTGTTCATCATCTTTCTCCAGGTTTAAGAGTGGTGAAACCAGGGTTGAGTTTCACTGCTGAAAGATGGTGGCATGTTACACCACCATAACTATTGACATATGTGATGATGGGTAGTTTGGAAATATATGTTTATGGAAATATAAGTGTATTAATAATTATATGCATGTGGTTTCCCACATGTAGAGAACACCATACAAAATCACTCATAAATATAGTATAACACAAATTACTTAGTATTTTGAAAACAAAATATTTAAATGAAGAAAAGGCATTGATCAAGGTATTAAGATTTTGAATTATAAAGTGAACTGTAGCTATTAGTGTGTGAAGCATTGTTTGAAGATGTAGCAAGTCTGTTATTTTCCTTAATGTGAAAGAGAGAATATTTCAGTTTTGACTCTGAAATGTTTTTGTCAAGTTATTAATATTCATGAGAAAGATAAGTAACTGTTAGACTTGTGTTACATTAGACAGAAAACATAGTATGACATGTAGTTTTGCTAGTAGTAGTTAAGAACTCTTCAATTGTACCAAATTGAATTCCCTATGAGTATGTTTAATTATCTGTATGAAGGTGAATTTGCAAACAGCAAGGATCATGCCAAAGTTGAACTTGGTGTACCCAATGTTTTGCAATCATGCAAGTTGAACTATTCCTGAAAAAACAATTTTGATAAACAAGTTCTTAGTATTTGTGGGCAAAAAAACAGAAAGTGGTGGAAGAAATATAGCTGGGTTCCAGGGTAGTTGTGAGCCATTCTTATAGAAATTACAACAGTAAAGAGCACAGTTGAATAGCTGAATTATGGTCAAACTTGAAACTGAATGACTAATTAGAGTTCTTCTAGCCTTACATTTTCAATTCTGACTTTCTCTTTAAGATCAAATTCTTAAACCTTTTGGCTGTTGTTTTCATCTAGCCAGTTATAGACTACTCTGTTTATGTTGTCAGTGAATCTTGAAGTTACTGAAAACATGGAAAGCCAATACACCAAAAGTTACTTATTCAGCAACTTTGAGAACATATATATTCATTGGAGCCTAAAACCCCTGGAGCTGGCTTATCTTTAATCTCAAGAAAGCCCATTAATGAAGATATGTTGTTAGGCAAAATATCAGTCATAGGAGATCTGATGATTTGGGCTGCTAGTGGGCTCTCCCTGAAGTTCTGAAACTCACCATCCTAATCCTCATGAGCATCACCTTCCCTGAGATCACAAAAAAAAAATGAGACAAAGCTGAGCTGGAGACATCTACTGGGTCAATCTTAATAATGACCAGTCTCTCTGCTACCAAACGAATAAGGCCATCATCAGAAGTGAAACCTGAGGTCTGAGCAACACCCAAGGACCATGGCTCAGTCTATAAGTGCCTACTATGATGTTAGAATGTTGGGCAGCAAAAGTGACATTACCTGTGCCTCCACCTTTGTGCCAACAATTACATCTCTCAGTTGAGAAGGGCTTTCCATGAACTAAAATTGTGCAGAAAGAAGAAGGGGATAAAGTGTCAGGAAACTTGTGAAAGTAATATACTAGCTGGATAATAGCAATGATCTAACCTTCTATCTCCATGACAACAGCTGTTGATATTGATACTAATGAGGGGGCCTCCAACTTGATGGCTGGACAGCTAAAAGGGAGCTGCCCATGGACAAAGATCTTGCCACAAAAGAGGGTAGAACCACAATCTGCACCCTAACCAAAATATTGAAATAACTCGTGTATCAGCAGGTTCAGATTCTAAAATTTCTACAAAAAACAGACAGCCAAGGGGACAGAGGCCTGGGTCTTTTAATCTCTGGGAGGATGATAATCTGATGAAATATGGAATAGTTTCTCACATTTCAGATGAGCTTGCAAAGAATCAAAAGACACTTCTGAGGGTCCAAGTGATCCATTTCTGGAGCATCATAATGCACTTTAAATCCACCACTTTGTTGAAAAGCCTGCTGTTGGGGCTTCAGTAGGTGGGGTGTTCTAATTGTAGATTGTGTGTGCATATATATTTCAAATTGCTTTTTATTTACTTGATTGTATAGTACTTCATTTTGTGCAAGTATATATTGGGTTAGTAGATTTATTTTGATGTAGGTCTACTGTTGTGAAAAATTTGCATTATATATTTTTGCTTGATTATGTGTTGTTTTTGTTTTTAGACATCCAAAATATTTTGGCCATGCATTCTCTAATAATTTAGGGAAACTATTAGAGTATGATCTTTATTGAATTATAATTAATATGACGTACTGAAGTTGTAGACTATTTACTGATGCAGACCATGAAGTCTACCATATAAATTTAATTAGAATATATTTGGAGGACATAAATTAGGCTGTTCAAATACATTATGCATGCACATTGAAGTGTTCACTTTGGTTTGAGAGTGCTATTGCAAGATATTTCTTGATCTTCAGAAGGAAATGATGTATGATTTTCATGAGACTTTCTTGTTATTGTTTATTTATGTCTACACTACTTAGTCTAAGTGATGTTTATGCTTTCAAACCAACCTGGATATTGTAATTTCCTGAGAAGCAACACTCACAAGGTATGACTTGTTCAAATCTGTCATTCATCAAAGATATAGCTACTGTTTATTGAAATTTCCTCCCAAGTAAGTAAATATTATAATCTTGCATGTATCCATTGATAGACATTCTTATTATCTGCTCTCAGAAATAGAGGAGAATTCCCATATTTCTGCTTTACTGACAGTGCAATGTACTACAGTGCATACAGTTGCATAGTGTCAATTGTCCATGGTAGCACAAGTGCATCACTAACTTTCAAAAACTGTGTCATCACTACTAGTTAACCTGTGGCCATTATGAAAGTTCTCATTACTGTATGTAACTAAATACTAGTCATACTTGTGTTACTCTGAATTTTCATTAGCTAAGGTTGTTGTTTGTCTAAAGTTTTGTGCTTGGATGGTAGGCGTTGGAATTGTCAACAGTGTACTTGACAGATAATTGTATAATTTGTATAATCTTCAAAGATTTATTTGTGCTTAAACTTACCCATTAATGACAAAGTTTTGAGTTGAATGAAAGTAACCAAAAATGAAAATCTGTTGGAGTTTTAGGTGTACTTCAGATTTCAAAAACATTCATGTGTTTCTTTCTTTCCTTGTGCAAACATATTTCTAAGCATATAAAGTGATAAATTAATGTAAAATTGAGTAAATCTTTATGATTATATTGGAAAGTACATGGTACAAGCTAAATGTACATTGCTGTTTCAAAATCAAATTAAACATTACAAGTCATTGTAACTAAACTATTTATCTAACTATAAAATTGATAGAATATGCCAATGAATTAATGATATTTGTGATGTAATTGATCTGTTCAGTAAAATATAATCACATACTGTACTGCCCCCCTGGTATTTTTATAAAACTTACCTTTTCTGATAGCAACAGTAATTCAACATATAGTCCACTTTTATTATTGTAATGTTGATTTGAAAGCAAAGAGGAAAAACACACACACTTATTAGAATTGATTAGCCCCCCACCCTGCTGTTAATTATGGGCAATACAGTATTTATCTGTTGTTATTTTTTTATAGGTGGAAGACCCTCACCATGGCCACAGATGTAAATGTTTTTCCAGTTAGTACTCCAGTTCTCAAGTGGCAAAAAGAGGGAACTACCAAAACGGGTTCCATACAAATGAGGTCCTCACTATCTGAAGGTTTCTGAAAGTGTTCTGCTCTTTTTTTTTTTTAATATTTTTCATATTTATTATATAAAAGCAATTTCAATAGTAACACAGGCTGGTATTTTTGAAATTTGTTTGCAATGTTGTACCAATGTCTGATGGCACCAAGTGCAACATATAATTTTGGCACTCATTAACTCAACTCATTAGTTCACTTTGTTAGTCAATCAGGATATAGATGCCCTCCTTTGAGCTGGCACCATATGTGAAAGTGATGCTCGCATTACCCATGGTAAGGTCCTGTTTGTTTGAGAAGTATTATGTTATGTTTCTAAAGTAGCTTATTTGTATATATAATACATGAACATTGAGTTGTGTTTTACACACATTTTATCATTTACCCAGCATGTGGCTGGATCATAGTGCACATGTCAGGACCTTTTTACAGAGTTACATCAAAAACTTAATGAAAGAATCTTATTACCAATGTACGTTAATAAGCTTGGCATCAAATCATAATTTATAATTCAAATGTTTATATTATCTAAGTTCTAATTTCTCAATTTCAAAAGGAAATATTTAATATATGTTTTCAATCTTCACCTTCCTGTGTCACATGCACATTTTCACTCTGAATTCTCCCTTATAGAATTTTTTCTTCACTTATATGTTTTAAGGGTGTTAAATCAAATAGAAACTGAAAATATAGATAATGACAGGCCTGAATATAATCTTTGAATTTTCTACTTTGTCAATTTGCTGAGATATCAATATATTTGTCAAACCCACCTATTAAGCTCCTCCCAACCTATCATAGCTTTCAAGGAAGTCATCTATACCATGTGGTCTTATTTTATGGATATGTTTATAACCAATAGATAAAACATTTTTTCCTCTACAAGATTCTTATTATAGTTATTTCTTTTTTGTGGGTGTAAGTAGATAGTTTACCTTAAATGCATTATGTGTGATCGATGTTGAGCAGCCAATGGAGTTTTTAACCTATTATTGCTTAGTTAGAAAGACATTTAAATTATAGTAGTTTTTGGATATTCTGTTCTTGTGTTTTATATATTTTTATGTTCTAAATAGTATATTTGAAAAGCTGCATAGAATTACTGAAACACAGCTTCCAAGTAAGAAATGACTTCAATGTTTTTAATGTATATGTTTTGTTTACTGTGTATAGTTTCTGAAGAAAATAACTAAAATATAAAAATTAGAAAAGGTTAGGTGACAATACCTGTTTTGATGATGAAGCCAGTAAAGCTCTTAAGGTTTAAGCTGAGTGTAATCTGATTATTTGTTTACTCTAAGCTGTACTGGAAACACCCATTGCTTTTTCTCATGGAGAGACATTGAAGAGAGGGTTCAAAGTATAGTAATAAAACAGTAAAATTAAAGGCAAGCAGATATGAAAAGGTTAGAAGCTGAGGCTGTTAGGATAAGTAATTGTAATTTTCTGTTACAATCTTTAGCCATTCTAGTAGAAAAGATATTATTGATTTTATTTCATAATTTTCAACTTTTCATCACCTTGTTTCCTGTTCCAATCACTCTCTGTCTGTCATGTAGTCATGTAGGGATCACTGAAGCATGTATTCGTAGGAAATGTGTGTTTGTGAAAGGAAATATCTCTTCAGATTCAGAATGCAAATATACAAATTACTGATTAAATTTCCAATTGTGAAGATTTATCAACACTAAAAATCATCCATATTGTTGGTTTACAGAATAGTGAGAGTTCACTATATATTTTCATTCTTAATATGAAAAACACCTTGCACGCAGTCTGACTCAATAAAGGCTTTGGAAATTCACAAACAAATATGTAGTATAATTAATTTATTGAAAAGTTTGATTTTTTTGCTATAAAGACTTGGAATGTTTATTAAAATGTAGCCAGATCTTATGAAGTTATAATTAACATATCAAGAGCTATAGTAAATATTATTATATTTATATAGAGCTTCACAGATACAGCACTGGTCCAAACAGATCCTCTTTATCTCTACTTTTGTCAAGAGAAAATTTCAGAGATCTTAACCTGCCCATGTTTCATTTGAACACTTGGCTTCCTGTTCCTGATACCACCTCTCTCTTAAAGTTTTTTCCTTCTCATTCTTACTCGGGATTATCTCAGAGGTGATCTTTATGCATTGGATGCATGGCTTTTTTTCTGGGCTCATTCAATCATTTCTTCTTGCTATGGGATTCCTCTTCATCCAGGAATCTCTCATCTTTTATGCTTATTGGATAGATTTGTTTACTCATCCAGATCATCTATTCCTTTCTGGATGGATATGCATGCAAGTTATATCACATTTCATCACGTCAGATCTGCCTCTTGACTCGTTTTCTGGCTTTGCACTTTAAACAACCCTTGGATAGAATTCTTCAGGCTGGAATGTGGACTATGCCCAACTTCTTCACTTACCATTATCTCCACCATCTGGCAGTTTCATCTCCATCTGGATTTTGATTCTCTCCAGTTTTCACTGTCTTTGATGTGTCTCTCTTTTATTTCCTTAACCATTTCTACTAATAATCTCATTGACTTCTCAAGAGTCACCCTGTGAAGGATGTTGCCTCATAGGGTATACTTACTTTTATAAATCCCGACTTTATATACCAAATTGCAATAACATGAACAAAGCTAGACTGTTCTTGCAAGTACTTTATACATATGACCTAGAACCACACATGTTTGTGATTTGGGTGGGGAAGCCTTAAGGTCCTTATGCAGTTCACTGGCAGAAAAAACAGCTGTTTATTTTGGGACATCACGAGGGAAGTCACGACTATTTTTCTGCAAAAGAACATGCTTAATGACCAATCAGTAGTAAAAGTCTTGTGTGAAGGTAGTGTACGGAAAATTTGAGTTGTTTACTTGAGTGACTCTGCATCTATACTTCAGTAAAATTAAAAGGATACTAAAAAATAAATGTACATATTACTTAAAATGGTACTTAATATATGGCACATTCTTGTGCCAAATTTCTTCTCCTCCTTCCTTATATCAAGGCTGAATACAACAGCTAAAAACAACAAAAAATCAAACTTTAATCACAGGAAACTAAGAAATTGAAATAACTCACCTATGCTCCCTTTAAAAGGAGCTGCTCCATAGTACAATTTTATACATAAGTAAAAACAACTGTAGTACAATACAGTAAACTAACAAGGACTACCTAGCCCCTTTAGGAGGGGGAGTCTAACATACTATGATGCAAAAAAAAATAAATGCTTTTACAAAGATCAGTTATGAAACACAATACAAGAAATGACCCTTTAATAAAAAGTGTCTATCCCCTTTAGGAGAGGATAGTGAAGAACAGTGCTAGCACTACAAACAAAAATTTCCTTTAACAAAGAAAACATACAAAAAACTTTTAAAGAATGTAGTACACAAAAAACAACAGCTATTTAAAACAGAAATGCCAATTCTCTCTTTGAGGAGATAGCTAACAAAAACACATAACACTATATTAAAGTACATTTTTGCAAAAATAAATAATAAAAATGGAAATACATTTCATGTGATTACACTGAAAAAAGATGCCCTTAGAAATCAAAATGTTGTAAAATAAAACTAGTCAGTGTTATATATATATATATATATACAATAAGTAAAAACCCTTTCACTATTACTTAAATAGAAAATAAACCAGAGCATGATTAAAACCCCTTAAAATTATGATGCACTAAAAAACCATAACCTATATATGAAACAAAGATGTACATATATTACAAGTGCACTATTAATATATATAAATATATACATTCTTTAAACATATAAAATAACTCTTAAAACTGAACATATTAGAGAATGCATTTCCAAAATTGTTTGGATGTCTAAAATCAACACATAATCAAGCAAAAATATATAATGCAAATTCTTCACAACAGTAGACCTACATTAAAATAAACTCTACTAACCCAATACATACTTGCACAAAATGAAGTACTATACAATCAAGTAAATAAAAAGCAATTTAAAATATACATATATATATACACACAGTTAATAAAATCATTTATACTAATTTCACCAAATAAAGAAAATACACATTCTTAAAATGTGTATGTCCTAAACTGATTATTGGAAAACCCCAACAAAAGGGAAGACAGTATCAACTTAGCTTCTGTTGAACTTCATGTATCAAGGACTACAATGTTTAAGACTTCAAAAACACATCTAAACTGTCATACATACAAAATTCAATTGGTTCTACAGCTATTTGATGAGGATATTAAGACCAAATTTTTAATATGTTCTTTGCATTCTAACTGGATGGATCGCAGTGAGGTGATATTTCAGCTGTGTGGAATAATAACATCTGTGATTGTCAAACTATGGTAGTGAGAACCTACCTAAACACCACTGAAGAGTATTGTGACATTTAGTTTCCAAAAAGTAATGTTTGAGAACCTACCTAAACACCACTGAAGAGTATTGTGACACTTAGTTTTCAAAAAGTAATGTTTGATGTACTGTTTTGTGACAAAACAATCAGGAGTGTCTTTTTCTACCAAGAGAAAACAGCAATTAGATGTGGTGAAGAAGTTTTATTATGTAGTATTTTAAAGCTGATGATTATGTTGACACATATTTCTCTCACCAAGATGGGACACCATATCATTTTGAATTTTGTACTCATGAGGCACTCAACAGTATCTTATAGAATCATGGATTTGGCTATAAAGGACCATTGTTTTTACAAAGTCTAGTTTTAACCTCATACCTAGCTACACTTGCCAATATTAAGAATTTTATCAGTGATGCAATTCAGAATGCATGCTAGACAATGTATTTGAAGAGTTTTGTGAACATACTGGCAGAAGGAGACAGAGGGTGTGTGTGGTTGCAGTATAAAACCTGAGATTATGTGTATTGCACTGCATGTCTGTTTTTTTTCTCATGTTTTTACATTGGTGTAAATATTTTCAAGAAACCATGTATACAGGTATAGCAGGTTTTCTCACATCATCTCATTTGAGTTACTTTTTCAGCTTGCTATAATGGAAAACCAGTTTGATTTTCTGTAATTTTGAATGTTAAAACATAATCTTCATGTAAATTTATGATGTTCATTTTACATATGTATGTGTTATAAATATTCTATTTCCAGATACTATGGGTCACTATTTGTCAGTTCTTCAAACAGTTAATTGCCAGCTACCATTTGGTATTGTTCACAGTGGTTTGTGCTTCAAGAGTGATCTACTCGTAAACTTGAATTCAGATGCAGATATTTTAATGAATTTGGATGTTAGTAGCCAGCATAATGACAGAAATGAAGGGAAAATAGCATCTTCTCTCATCTCCAGTGTTTGGTATTACTATTAAATCTTGATGTATATGAAATAATTGGTTTATTATTATTATTATTCTTAACTTTGTATAATGCAAATTGGGGGTTCATAACTAGACATTTCAATTAGCATAAATGAAAGAACCTATATCTCTGGAATGTATCTTTATAAACTCAGTATTTCATTATTATAACTTCATCAGAAGGTATCGATAACCTAGAAGTTTGTAAAAAATACATAAACTAATCTCTGCATTTTAAATAATTTTAATTTAATTGTGAGTTTTTGTCCCTCCTACTGGAGCTTTCATTAGGCAACAATGTATTGAATAATACAAATTCATTTATATGTGGAATACTTTTTAAAGGTAGATATCTAAGTAACAATCCTAACAATAGCTGTCATTTGGTATTAAAGTTATTAACCATATAGAAACTAATGAAAACGAATTGTGACAAGGACAGAGTTAACAGTCAAAAAATTTAAGCTTTTGCATGAATTGATCATTCAAAACCTTGGTCATTTTAGCTGTAAAAGAATATAAATATCTTATACATGCTGCTGTTTGAAATATGGAGGGTCAAATAACTACTTTAATATAATAAACATGAGAAAAAATACGATTATGTGTAATATATAGAAAAATAACATGTTCAGATTTCAATTAAGAAATTATAGAATTATTGGTCACAAGTAAAGCACAAAACAAAAAATTAGAGATTTAAATTTACATTGATATGTTTGATATCTTCAATTGGAGTCCATACAGTGCTGAATAGTTGTTGGCCATTATTTTGTTTAATACCCACTGTCTTGTCTTGTGCTTGAATGGCAGTAGTTTCTTTAATTTTTTTTTTCTCTATCTATTATTTTTGCTTGTTTTAAGATCATTATATGGTCATTTTCCTGAATGTGAAAGGCTATAGCCGATGTATTTGTAGCACAGTTTCTAATGTTTCTTTGATATTCTGTAAACCAAGTACTTTGTGAGAAGGTTGGTAACTGGGTATTTTACTTCTGTAAGACTGCCATTTAGTGTAGGCGGACTTGTGAAGACTACAGTAATGTTAAGTTTATTCATTTTTTGAAAGTTTTTCTCTAAATCATTATATATAAGGAAAAATGCTTTTTTCTTTCTATTGTGATTATCAGGTTGTGGTTCATTGGTATTTGAGGCGGATTGATCAAATGATATATCATGCATCATTTTCTTAGAATAACTATTATACTTGAAGGTCATGTCAAGATGTTTCAGTTCTTTATCTAGGTAAAATAAGAGGAACATATACTGGTAGCCCTTTGTGTTTTAGTAATCCCACTTTGATGGAACTTGTATGACATGAACAAAAATTTAGATATTTATTTGTTTGGGTCTCTTTCTGATGAATGGCAGTGGGCAGCATTTCAAGACTCAACTCTTTGTGAACCAGAACATCAAGGAATGGAAGACTATTATTGACTTCAAGCTCTGTGGAACATTTTATTTTGTCAAACTTGCTATTCAGATGAGCTTCAGAAGTTTTGAGTTCTTCTCCATTTTTCCATAGAATAAATGCTTCACCAGTTTATCTTATCCATATATATTTGGTTTATTAGGATACAGTGTTAAAATAGTCATTCAAAGTGCTGCATGAATATTATTAGTACAACTACCATTTAATATTCTGTAAAACTGACCATTCCAGTGGAAGTAATTTGCATTGAGACAAATGTCTAACAAGTTCATGATGCTTGGGATGCTGATGGATATTCTTATTGGAAGTGAGATGTTGTCACTAAACTGTTTGTGTATTATTTTCATGGTATCCTTGACACAGATCTTGGTAAAAAGTGAAAGTACATCCATGGTATTGTTTTTGGATATTATTTGGCAAAAAATGAGGTCAATGAATTATGTTGAGTTTTTAATCAAATATGGTATTAGTGGTTTTTGCACAGTATAATAAAATGTGCCTGTTTTGTAAGTTGGCAAACTTGTATAAAATACTATAGGCTACATGGGTATATTAGGTTTGTGTATCTTTGACAAGCCATAAAGCTTTGGGAAATAGTATAATGTGCAGAGAGAATTTTGTAATATTTTAAGTTTATTTCCTTTTCATCTGTCATGTTTCAAAGTTCTTTATTAAATCTTTTTTGTATATGTTAAGTTTGTTCTAAAAGTAGTATTTGGTAAATTTTGTCTGCTATCAATTCTTCTATCTTCTGCTCATAGGCATGTCAGTTATCCCCTTATATGCAGGTAATAAAACAGTTTTTATATTTTTTTAAATTAATAATAGCTTGATGTTCCTCTTTAGTGAGATTGCATTGAGGTTTGATCTTAAGCATTGATACAAATTTACGTTCTCTAATGATTTTTACAATGAAACACCCACTATGATTATGAAGCCCTTGTGAAAAGTATTTGTTCTTATTCTGTAACTCGTATCTATTTGTCTGATTTACTGAATATTTACAAAAGAGTTTTGTTATTATCTTTTCCATGTCTTCTTGTTTTATGTGTCTGATAGATATATTTATGACTGAATAGTGGATTTTATATTTATCTTGCACCACTTAGCCAGTTTATCTTTTGCTTAGTATAAGGGATATAAGTAGCTCTGAAGTTTTAAAAGGTATTAAAAATAATAGAAGTTAATAAGAAAATTCTGGAGTAATTTAATTATGTGAAATTTTAATTATGGTAGGAATCCACTGGAGAAAACACATTTGATGTTGATGTTTTTCTGTTCACCCAAATCTTTTTCGAGTTGGCTGGAATATTGGCAGAAACATCGTCTTTCATGGTGGAGGAAGGTAAATTATATATTGATAAGCCTAATTTGTGGTTAAAGAATGATTTATGTTGTTTCCAATCACTTACAAGAGTATGAGAACTAATAAAGCTTTTTATTTGTTTGCGGTTTTAACTTATTATTATTTGTGATTTTAATGGGAGGCTAGCTAAATATCAGCATGTAACAACACAGTCTATCACAGAAGCACAGGGAATATACAACACTGATTTTTTTTTAATAGCATATAACCAACTTAGAAAAGCATTTCATTGGTAATGTTTTGAAACTTACAAATTTAAGAGTGTATTTAGAACAAATCTTTTAATTCATTGCTCTGTGTCTTAATGAGTTTAGAAAATTCCAGCTGTATTGTCTCAAATAACAAATTTTTGAAAAGCTGAATATTGAACAAAGGACAACATTTTTAAATGCCGCTTTTTGTTTATTCATCTCCTGCTTTATATATATATATATATATTGCTGTTTAAACTTGAATGTTCAAAATGTTCCTTTTCTTCTTGACTCTTTTGGATTAGAACACAAACTACTAATGTATGTATTTTGAGAATATAAAACATCACTTTAAGCCTGTAGTAAGTTTAAACTGTATACTGCATTCACTGCATTATTCAACAACATAAACAAGCATATATATATATATATATATATATATGATTTTTTTCATTTTTTTTTCTAGGAAATTATACTACTCATTAGCACTTAAAATTACTAATCACTGAATAAACAAACCACCATGAGAATATTTAGTAAACTCACAATCATGAATCCTTCACAAAGCAACAAGTCTATTAACAAACAAGGATTTACAATCACAATGGGGAACAACAATGCTGCAGCTTTAAAAATGGCTGAGGGAATATCCATATTTGGAAGGGAAGTATAGTACATAAAGTTCAGCCACACTTCACATAAAAATCATTTATGGAAAGATTGTTTACACTTAACACAAGTGATTTCTCTTATCAAGAAAATATCTTTGTTTAGTTTTTAAAGTATAGTGTATCGTTTATTCATGTATTAATTTTTTATTTGAAGCTACAAAAAGCTATTAAATTGAAATTACATACTTACTGAGAGGTCTGAAATTACCTAATCTGTTGCTTGGGTAGATTCAGCGCTTAAAGCATACTCTAAGGTTTTTCTGTGTTTCTAGAAAAAGAAAAAATACTAAAGGACTGAAATGAGATACAAGAGGCTGGTGTCAAAATATGTTGGGTTTGGTATGTTATGAAGGGGTGCTACGACATCTGAAAAATTTTGTACAGTCGAGAAATAAAAATGGAAGGGATTCCAGGACATAACTCTAGCAACACTATTTCCATAATTTTTAGTCTAATAAACTTTTAAGTATAAAGACAGTGAGAATAAGCCAAAGTGTAGGCTATTTAAGAAACATTTTTTGTATGCCCAGGTGCATCTAGCAACAACCAACTGTGAAGTTATACAATAAAGATGTTAATATGAAATTGGAGGCAAAAGAATGCCAAGACTAACTTGCAACAGGGTTGTTAAAAGTAACTAAAACCTAATAAAATTAACCAATAATTACATAAGAACTAAGGATGGAAGACAACAAGAAAATAAAGAACAAATATGACTAAAGGTTTCCCATTCAGGGAAACAAAAGTGCATCAGTTTGCTACAGAGAAATATTAGCTGGAGGATGTAGTAAGAAAAAATAGCATACTGTATAGTCAACATTTCCTAGCCCTTGACAGTTAAATCTTTGGAAACTACATAAATGTTGTTCAGAATCTCATATTAGGAAATAAAAACTTTGGTGAAAATGTACAGGACTGAAGTAAAAGGAAGTAGAGAAAGCATATTTTTTTAATTTCAGCTGTGAACAAACAACAGTGATTTCCATAAGCCTGAGGAACATCAAGATAGGTATTAGAAATATCCATTTCTCATAATACAATACCACAAAGAGATGGCAAAGCACTTTTGAAATCCCTCTAAGTGGAAATATGGCAGAAATAGACAGATGTGTGAAAGTTAAAGTTTAATCTCATCCAAAATTGATTTAAGGTTATACACTTCCTGATCTAAAAAGGATCTTTGGATGTTTGAGATGAATGAGGACTTACAGTTTAGTGGGAAATGGAATAGAATTAGAATACACTGAAGAAAAATACTGGATAACAGGAAGTAAGAACAAAAAATGAGATTAGTTTCATGGGTAACCCATTCATGAGATCAGAATAAAATCAACAAAATGAAGTCTGTGTATTGGATATATCTGAAAGGATTATGAAATCAGTGAAGAGCAACATATTGAAAGAGTATGGCAGGGAAGAGACAAAAAATTCCTGTAGTCAAAGTAAGTTGGCATGTCAAGGCTTTTTAAATGAAAAGCATTTAAGTATGAACCAAACAATTGTCAGAATCTAGCAAAAAAACATTAAAGTACAACTCTTGCAAGGTAAAAGAAATTTAGAAAAAACAATCCACATGAAATATTTGATGCAAATAATTTCAATATATTTCAACTGAGTTTTAAACTATATTTACATGCCTGAGACTCTGAAACTCTCCTTTTCTGTCAAGGTTTTATATATATGTGGGCTGGGATTCTTTTACAGTAGGTGTCTGTGACTGGTTAGCAATAAATTCAGACAATAAATGGATGGCATTTATCTAGAATCATCTAGCCCTCTAGCAGCAACAATATTCCACATAACCAGAAAATCTTGGAAGCTTTGAGTAAGATGACGTCAACAATATTACTAAAGCCTAGTACAATTAAACTGCATACACAATGCATGAGTCATGCAGAGCTATGTAACAAAACTGGTCCTATCACTTTTAAAACAATCAACCTTCAACACTCTTGTTATAGAAACTAAATAATCATTAAATATTAGATCACTAAATGAACTAAATAATAACTTACACTAAACAGTCTTGTATATCCAACATTTATCTATTCCTTTGCCAGCAAACATCAAAGTCTTTATACAGAAAGAGAGAGATGGTCTTACAGGCCTTTTCTTTTTCTTTTGTTAAAGTTCTAATATTTAATTTTAAAAAATATTTAAAGCAATTTTTTTCTAGTTCATGGTCTCTCTACTTATTCTGTTATTGTACTCTTGAATTCTTCTTCAGACATTTCAGTATGTATTTGCGATCTTGAACATTTTCTTTACATCAATTCTACTGGTGCTTTGGATGGTAGCTTTTTTTAAGTTTAATATCTAGATTCATTAAGGCAGGAATCTTTGGTCTTGGAACTGTTTTGTCCATTCTTTGGGGTGTTTACAGTTACTCTCATGTGCCTGTTACTACATGTTTCATCTGCTTAATTCCATTTGGGGTCATCATTTTATTGTGATTTTACAGAAATTTTTTTCAAAAGCTTTATCAGTCAGTTCGTTCCTCTCTGGCATACCACTGAGTGAAGTCACCCTTCAAGTTAACAAACAAAAAACCAACAATACACAACAACATTCTAGTTACTGTTTTATGGTGAATATAGAGAAGTTTATATAAAGTTATTTTATAGATATAAAAATAATAATAATAGCATAAGTATGCTGCAAAACAAGAGTTGTTCATAAAGAGTACAAAACTACTAGTTACCTAAACCATTAACTTCTGTCAAACAAGAACTTTGTCCTATATCGTTTACTTCTTATTGCTGTAATCTGACAATATTTTTAATTAGAGATCATTCTGCCAATTTCCACCCATAGTTTTAACAACCAACAAAACATCTATTTGCCTTTTTTTAAATTAACTTTTCATGTATTCACTTTTTTTGTGTTGCAGTGCCCCCGACACCACTCAATGAACAGGATCCTTTCCTCCCTTTCATAGGTCACCACTTATGGCAAACGTGGACGGATGTTCAAATCCCAGAGGAGGTAAGTTGTACAGATAAAACCTTCCCTGGGAGGTCCCCTCATCAAGTGGTTTAAGGAATGCAAGAAAAGTTTGAAAGACATGAATGGTGATTTTGTCATGAATCTTGCAATTTGAAATAAAAAAATGGATATTGTTGTGGTTCATTTAGTATATAGTTGTAAACAACAAAATGATGGAGAGTGGCTTTCTCATTATATTGGTGGAATCCTAGAGTTGCAACTTGTAACACAAATCAGTCATTTTCTGCAAAATCTTTGATAAAGAACACTTATTTAACTGTTCTTTCAAGTTTTTATCTCAACAAAATTTACTATTATTTTGAAATGAAGTTAAATAACTTTAAAACATGAAGTTACCAATGAACTTGTTAATGTTCTTTGAGAAAGTTTCTAGAGTTCATAAAAATCTACTGCCTGTTTATTATTTGATTGAATGATAAATCTACTTTTTCAGCTATTATGGCTTTAGCCAGTAAACATACCTTGGCCTTGAATTCCTGCAACAAAAGGGGTGGTTTTGTGGAGGCTCTGCTAGCATAAGTCAGCTCGTCCTATGGGGCTAGGGTCAATCAAGTGTTAGTATCAGAGATCCTCAACAGGTGTTGTGGGTGTTGTCTGGTGCTGGGGTGAAGGTATAGTGCCCATGAAACTGTGGCTTAGCTCCACTTTCCTAGTTTGACATCTCCACTTTCCCATCATGTCCCTCTGAAGGACTCCATGATGGGTGGTGTCAGTGGGTATTGAATCATTCTCTTATTCTCATGAATACTAAAAAAAAATTAAACCCAAAATACAAAAAAAATTTTATTGAAAAAATGATCATGTTTGAAAGACTGTTCCACAATCACAATCTTCTATCATTCCTGTACCTCACTTTCTGAATTGTTGTCAGAAAAATCTCTAGTGCAGATGTCTTTGCCATTGTTTGCTGTGGCTTGATGGTTCATCACAGGATCCCCTCTACAAATTCTGTGTTCACTGCTGAGTTTTATGCAATTTTTTCACTTGCCTTGAATCATGTATAAGCTATCAGTACTATCAGTGCTGACTCGTTTAGGTCTTTGGAGCCCTGGAATAACTTAATATGAGCTCTCACCCACATCTCTTGGATATACAGAAATGGTTGGTCTAC